CTCTTAGCAACTTAAGCACATATAAGTTATCCAAACATGCATATTTCATAAAAGTGTATATTCTCAAGTTTAACCCCTTATAATATAAATTCGAGCTTGTAAAAAGGTTGGTAATAAAATAAATCAATTTTGAATATTGTGAAATTTCTACAATTTTAAAAATTCAACCATTGAACATTTAAATATTAAGAAGAAAAAGAAAATAATAAAATTCTCAAGACCATGAGCAATTTCAGTAATAAATTCTACATAAATTAAGAGTTTGTTTCTCGCAACTTATTTGAAAATTATTTTTTCTCAAATTCATTTTCGTCATGCAATCTTTTAATAAAAAAAAATTGTGCACATAAACTCATAACTTCCTCTTATATTTTAATCATACACTCTCAAAAAAATTATTTTTCACTTCAAATAATATTTTCCAAACAAACTGGTGAAATTGACAATCATGGATTCATGGAGTGTGGACTGTATCGGGTCCCTTTTCTGTGTCGGTTGGGCGGGTTTTGGCCCATTTTTTACGATTTGAGAATAATTAGTTGGGCCCAATTTACCGCACTTGTAGAAGGCTAGAAGCTGATGTTATCAGGGCAACTTACAAAAATACACTTAAAATTAGAGGTATTTTGAAAAATCATATGAAAAGTTTTTTTTGAAATAAAAAATACTGTGTAAAATGAAAAAGTGACATACTGTCACTTTTTTTAAAATAAGTGACACAAACTCAAAAAAAAAAGTGACACAAAGGCTTAAAAAGTGACACAAACTCAAAAATAGTATCATCCATTTGTGCAACACCAGTAATCATATTCTTAAAATAATCAATATATTCAGCACAAATCCACATGAGCGTAGTGGTACTTCTTCACATAGTCAACATGTCCAAGACAATCTACATGCTGATTATGTTAGGAAAATATAAATTATCATGTCATTTTTTATCTTATTATTAAATAAGTGACAAAAATTTAAAAGGTAACGAAAACTCAAAAAAATAGTGATAATGTCACTTTTGAAAGTTTTGTGTCACCTTTTTTATTAAAAAATGATATAGACTGTCACTTTTATTAAAAAGTGATTTTTGTCACTTAAAAAAGTGACAGAAATTTCATAAACGTGGTTGATAAAAAAATATCAAACACTAAAAAAAGTGGCAAAAATTCAAAAAAATAACAAATACTAAAAGAACGACAAAAATTTTAAAAAGTGATGAAATTTTAAAAAAGTGACGAATTTAAAAAAAGCTACACATATTAAAAAAATTGACAGACAGTAAAAAAAAAGTGTCGTAAATTTCAAAAAAAAAAGTGACAAAACATCAATCAAAAGCTTACAATACATCATTTTATGCAAATTCAATATAAACTACAACTGAAATTAATGTGACAAATCATTACCCTCGATTTTTAATATAGC